CTGATTGGCGCGTTCTCTGTGTCTACGCGCCGAATCGCGAAGGTGAACGCAAAGTTTTTTTTGAAAGCCTGAGCACGTATCTCGATTGCGAGCGGGTAATTGTTTTTCTTGGTGATTTTAACTGCGTTTGTAGGCCACAAGATCGAGCGAGTCATGCTCCTGTTCGAGACGCGAGTTCCTTTTCTTTGAATGACCTTGTTTCGGGGCATTGCTTAGAAGACGTGGCGGCCTGTATGAATCAGGGAAATGTACAGTTCACGCATTTTCAAGGCCGGAGTCATGCGAGACTGGATAGGGTCTATGTTTCTCTTGATCTTTTACCTCTTTGTAGCGATTACTCTGTTAAGCACATGTCTTTCAGTGATCATGCGTTAGTCATGTTTACTCTTGGCAATAAGACAAAATCACCTAAATGGGACTGGGCACTATGGAAGCTCAACAGTAGTATTCTTACGGATGAACCTTTTAGAGTAAGTGTGAGTACTCTTTTTGAAAATTTATATGGTAACGATAATGCATTGTGGGCTGTTCGTTGGGATCTTTTTAAAGAAGAAGTAAAGATGGCTGCAATCGAGAGAAGCAGCACCCTTAACTATCAGAAAAAGAAAGAAGAGGATGTTTTACGGCGTCAGTTAAACGGTTTTGTAACACTAGAGAGCGCAAATCCCGGTGAATTTATGCGCGAAATAAAAGAATGTAAAAGTAAATTGGAACTGATCGATGTCGAGAAATACAGAGGAGCGATAGTAAGGGCTCGAAGCGACAAGCTGTGGATGGGTGAAGCTCCGACGAAGCGCGCACTATGCGACGAAAAAAGTTACGCGCAACGTAACGATATCAGGGAAATCTGTTACGGAACCACGGTGACGCGTGACAGGGCGGTTATTGAAAGGGCTTTTGTGGAGCATTATCGAAATTTGTTTGGGCGTATCGCGTCAGTAGACGACGGGTTCGATGCGGATTTTTTGTTTTTGATGCCCCAGCTAGAACAGCACGTGTGCGACAGCCTAGAGGTGCCTATCACCGTGCCGGAAATCGAAGCTGCCATCGATGAGCTGACGAGAGGAAAGACCCCAGGGCCGGACGGCCTTGGTGCCGACTTTTATAAGTCTTTTAAGCATGCGGTGGCGCCTGCGCTGTATGAGGTAGTGACCGAAGCCTATGAGAAGCAGATGTTACCCCTATCTTTTCTTAGGACGCACACTGTGCTTATCCCTAAGTACAATGATTCGGTGAAACTCTTGTCAGTGGGATCTTACAGGCCGATTACTTTAACAAACGTTGATTATAAAATTTACATGAAGATTTTAGCTAAAAGATTACAAAGGGTTATTAAAGTACTCGTAGGGCCGCATCAGACGTGCGGCATAAAAGGCCGTACGATTTGCACGAATATACATGTAGCTAGAAGCGTTTTAGAATGCTGCGACGCCTTTCAAGGCCGAGTAGCAATGTTGCAACTCGACTTTGAGAAAGCGTTCGATCGTGTTTCGCACCAAATACTTTTTCGTCTTTTGGAACACGCCAATGTAGGGTACATTCTGTTAGAAGGTTTGAAGATGGCTTATAAAAATTGCATTACAAGTTTAGTTGTAAATAAGAGAGTTACAGAAAGCATTGAGATACGTTGTTCAGTTAGGCAAGGTTGCCCACTTTCGCCCTTGCTTTTTGCTATATTTTTAGAACCGTTTTGTTTGAGACTTCTTCGAAACGATAACGTACGTGGTTTTAAGCTAAACACGAATGAAGTAAAAGTCCTGTCGTATGCGGATGATCTTGCGGTTCTTTGCGTGGATCAAGAAAGTATTCGCGAAATTGTCAAGGTTGCCTCTTCTTTTTGTGCGAAAACCGGGAGTGTCATTAATTGGGACAAAACGGTAGGGTTTTGGCACGGTGATTGGGATAGAAAACCAAATGTTTTTATGAATGTTAGGTGGGAGAGTTTACCCACCAAGTATCTAGGTGTGCCGTTAGTGCATTATCGTGACAGTACTTCATACTGGAATGAAGAGACTCAGAACGTTAGAACAAAGGCGGAAGGGTGGAGGGGGAAGGATTTATCTATTTTCGCGCGTTCCACTGTGTGTAATGTTTTTTTGATTGCGAAGATTTGGTATGTCTTACAGGTACTCTATATGTCTCGGGCCAATGTGCAGAAGTTCCACAGAGTTCTTGCTGTTTTCTTATGGAACTCAAATTGGGAGCGCTGTGCCCGCACAAATCTTTTTCGTTCAGTGCGAAGTGGCGGACTAGGGCTAGCACATTTATTTATAAGGCAAATTGTTTCGAGATTTATGTTTCTTAGGGATCAAAACGACCCCTTCTTACGTACTGTAATTCAAGTTCGCCTGCAAAGTTTTCTGCCTGAATTTGTTGTGTCATCCGGTGTTGTAATAGGCGCAGGTGTTCATGGGTACATGAAAGAAGTTTTATGGTCTTTCCGCATGTTGAAAGTCCGTTTTTCTATGGAATATTTGGCTACAGTTTCAAGGAAAAAATTGTATAAAGATTTAGTCGATGTTTTGTTTCCTATACCATTGTATAGATCATTATACTGTGTCGGCGGTGGTTTAGACGTACTAAAAAGAGTGAAAAGAATGCCGGTCAGGCCATGCGTTAAAACCTTTTTCTTTCAATTACATTGTGGCGTTCTTCCGGTGAAAACTTGGCTGGAGGAAAAGGGTTTATTTGTCCCCTGGTCCACTAATTGTCTATTGTGTAAAAAAGCCGAAACCGTAGAACACGTGTTTATCGAATGTTGGGACGCTGTGTTCCACTGGGACATCCTCCAGCGCACCCTCAAAAAAGATTTACCTGTCAACCCACGCGGTATTCGTTATCTGGCTGTGAAAAATGAAGATGAAATTCCGTATGATATGATTATGTTATTGAGTCTCCACAGTATGTGGAAGACGAGAATGAGTTTACGACACGCAGACGTGAATGTTCGCACTGTGCGTGAAAACTTTATTGAAAACATTGTCTATGTAAGAGAAGTTTATCGCGCCCTCGCCAAGCCTCCAGACTGGTTACCAGTGTTGGATCAGTTGGCCAGTTTTAAACGCTTTTAACCGCCACGGCCTTCGTACGGCTGAAGTGCTTTAGCCTTTCCCTTTTGTGTGTATTGTAAAAAAATCTGTCTGAGCAGGCAATAAAGAAAAAAAAAAAAAAAAGAGTAGGATGTATGTAGTATTTGTTGGATTTGTTGTGTATTGTGAAACTGATCAGTGCTTGTATGCCCTTGTGTATGTACAGTGTTGTGTGTATGTCCATGTCGTAAGTGAATGTAACCGCGCGGTGGGCAGCAAAAAATCAGCTGTTTTCTTTTTTCAAATGTTGATCACTTCTTTTTCGTCGCTAGATGGGGGTTGTCGCCGCCCAATTTGAAAAGTGTGCCGGTTGGTGGTCTATAACTATTAGAGGGCTGGATGCCATTGTCCATCCGTCGTGTTGATCGCTCCGAGTTGTTCGGTTCCGCTGGTAGCTGTGTCGTCGTGTTATGCTGCCTGATTGCAACAAAAGGAGGTTAGGCGGCTTCCCCAGCGCGTGTTCTAGGTGCTGAATGCCGCTGTTCACGCACAAGCGTTCATGAGTGGATAACGCACGTAACAAAGGTGAGCACAGGCAATAGTTAATCGAGAGCCACACGGAGCGCGAGTGCGATACCTCCTAGCCGCTGTCGACAGAGGGTGTCGGAGCGATTCGTTGTCAACTTGTCGTCCACGGCAAGTGGGCGTTTTGTTCAATAAAGCCAGCCTGTCAGTGTTTTGTAAAGCTATCCCTTCTTTATAAGCGCTTCTAATGCGATGAAAATGCGACCGGCATTGAGCAGGCCGAGCGAGACTTCGGCGACAGTCTCGGCTGTTCCGTCTCCAGCGGTTTCGGCCTTACTCGTATTATTCGCGGTGTTGGCGCTTGGACATAGAGATGTTTGGAAAGTTTTTTGCGCCTACAGATGACACCAAACGAGCGTGCGAGCCGTATGCTCTTGCTCCGGCGAGAAGCCGCGTACGGCTCGCCAGGCTCGTATCGCCTGTCGCATACTGGCCGCCATATTGTTTTTAGGGTGTTAGCAGTTAACACGATTTTCACCACCTCCGGCGGCTAACACCCTTACACGAATAAAGGCGTTAGCCAGAGGACGAGCCATTTACACGAATAAGGGTGTAAAAATTTTAAGTGTGTAGATAGTCCGCACAAGGCAAGATTTCAACATTTAAAAATGTATAGTCCGCGGTGATTAACGGCTGGCGAACTGCAATGGTTATGGCCTTAGTTCCGTAATATAAAAGTTGAATGAAAAATCGCCCATGTGTTTTTTGTTTGTTTTTTTACTGCCTGAAAACATTAGGCACGAAAAGGCTACCTCAGTAAAAACGACACTACCCAAGCAGCACAATTCACCGGCTCAAGCTTGAGCCGGCTTGGGCAGCCGAGGAAAGTTTCCCTGGCCCAAGCACCGTTTTGCTCCAAGGGGCAAGCTAGCCCCAGCCTGGCTAGCCGGCCCGGCAGTTCAGTGGGGGTTCCTTGTACAGCCAAGCTTGGCTAAACGGCGTAAAACAAGCCTGGGCCAGGCTGGCAGTTCAGTGGTCAGCCAAGCTTGGCAAAACGGTCTAAATGCATCCTGGGCCACACTGGCAGTTCAGTGGTCAGTCAAGCTTGGCAAAACGGTGTAAATGCAGTGTGGGCCAGGGTGGGAGTTCTCTGGTCATTCAATCTTGGCTATACGGGGAATTTACAGACTTCTCCCAAGGAAGTCTATGTTGTCATTCAAAGGATGTTTTTTGTGGCATATGATAGAGTCAAACATCTCCAATTTTTGGTGCTGTGTGCAGAAGAAAACTGGTTGCTACCTTGTTCCGGATTTAGTGACCCACGATTAATGGAGCTGCTAAAGTAATTTTCTCAGAATACTTAAACAATAAAATGAAAGTTGAAAACATGCGCGAGCTGCTGTATTTATTGTGCAGTTGGCATGCAAATGAAGCTGCAAAATCAAGTCAAGTTTGATACAGTGTTTTTTTTATTTCATGTTCAGTACATGGTGCTAGCTTATGCCCGAGTTCCACTACAGCGACAAACAGAAACAAATGACGACAAGTCTCAAACCTGAGTCTTTCCAGATTTGACAGGCTTTGTAGAATAAAAGAGGCTATGCTTAAACACAAGCGTCATGCACGCGAGGGTATCTTTGGCTGGCTTAGAATCACTCATGCTTATTTCACGAGCACCGAATGAATAAACGCCGCCAGCCAAAAGTACCACCACGGGCATGCTGAATGGGTTGGAGGCTTGTAGCTGTCGTTTGTTTCTGTTTGTCGCTCTCGTGTCCCACTAGAGCGACAAAGGCTGGTTGCTGGTCGAGTATCTGCTGCCTGGCAACTGGGCTTCACAGCTAGTAGGTGGCTCTGCCGATTCGAGTACTAATGACAGCAGTTGTACATAGTTCACCCCATGGCCACTTCATGGCTGTGACGTAGAGCTGGATAGCAGCACCTGGAGAAGGAACAAGATAACCAGTGATGCATGTTTAGTAAATATGTTTTACATGAACTATAAATCATGCTCCTAATTAAATTATAATAGCAGAAAGGCCACCCAAAAGGTCTTGGTGGTATCTTCAGTCTCCTTCAATATAAAAGACGTACTAAAAGCGCGTGGCCGAGATGACCGTGGTCGGGGGCGCTATGTGCGCTCCACGAGATTCTGTTCTGCCTCGAGGAAAGGACGCTCACTCGGGGCTGAACTGGTCCTGAACTTGCGGACAGTTTTTGGTTTAGGTTTAGACTAAGAGCGTGCTTTATCGGCATTGCGCCCACAGATATGATCATGGAGGCTCGAAGTAAGCATGCTCATTATTGTTTTTGTTATCAGTTGTTTCTGGTGTAAAATTTGAAAACAGGCACAAATATTAATGTTGCACCCGAGTCTCATATTTGAAAAATAAAATGTCTTGATGAGCGGATTTATTAATCAGAAGGATGGCATGCACCATGCACTTTAGAAGTGAAAATAATTAATTGCCTTGACTCGGGCCAGTTTCTCTCGGACAGCCATTTCAGAATTAGTGGCTGTGACATAATGTGAATGAACTGCTCTCCACCGTGAACCCAAAAACTGATAAGTGTGCATTGCACTTTAGCTGAGCACTAAGTGAGTTCCCCCTTGGGTAGATTGGGATCTCCCAGAGCACACCAGTCACTGCCTCGGCCAGGCGCTCCTACTGGGTCTTTCATACTGCAGGAGAATACATAACGCAGAAACTACAGAACTTGACAGTGACAAACATGATTTCCCTCCATTTGTAGAATACTACTGTCAGTAAATGCAAAATAAAAGCCAGTTAGAGCACCTCAATGTGAACACCACATATAACATACAGTACTGTGGAAGGTTGCTCAGATCGTTTGAAAGCAGACTTTGAATTGCCGCAAGGGAATTTTTCTTGATTCTCTTGATAGTAAAACCAAGCCATAAGTACAACTTCACTGTAAAGACAATGTTTTCTATCTGCTTTTCTTTAAATGCATAGAAGTACTTTTTGGTATTTATGTTACCAACCTCTAAAAAGACGAAGGACCAGTAAAAGGAAACACAGACACAGTTACGTACAAAACGAGCATGTTGGTAACAGTAACTAAACATGAGGAAGACACAGAGAAAGGGGGGACAGACTGACAACTTCGTTGTCCGCCCCCCTTTCTATGCATCTTCCTCATGTTTAATCACAAACACAGCGCTGTCTTTCCTTTTACTGGTCCATCTTTTTTGCGCTGTTTTAACCCATTCAATATGACCACCAATCAACTCGCCCAACTTTACACCTTGCTACCTAAGGTTGCAATATAAAGTGGTCTCAACTTCCACTGACAGCCCTGAAGCTATAAACCCACAAAAAACCAAATTCCCTAGTAATTAAAACGACACAAAAGAAAATCAGATCAGAAAAACATTCAGTCTGACTTGATTATATTGAATCAATAAATACAATGAATGTGAGCAATATCCTTGTGAAATTGTATTATAAACTTTCAATGTAAAATGGGATGAGAGTCCTACTAAAGCAACCAAGAGGAACAACAACCGACCCTGACACGACTTAAATACATTCAGCATGCACACGAAGATACCTTTGGCAGGCTTCCCATTTTTTGAGGCTCATGAAAAAAGCACAAGTTATTGCAAGCCTGCCAAAAGATATCTTGGTATGCATGCTGCATGGTCTTGGGGCTTAAGATGGCAAGTTGGCTATTCATCACTGAATAATATGCCGAAAAAACACAGACACAACAAAGGAAGATCTGGACAGAACACTGCATAACCTTCAACTGAATGGTTCGTATAAAAAAACAAAAATACATATAGACCCTTTCAGGCAACATTTCATGGGTGCGCCGCCGCCACCTTGACGTCACGTGACCCTGCCGCCACAGCCGACCTTCAGTTTCTCGCAGTTGCTCCGCGTTGTGTGCTGCACCGGCCACCACCAGAGCTTTGTTCTCGAGTTCTTTTACGTTCTGCGTTGAAATCGTGTGTTTGCTTTAGGTCCTTTCGATGTTTCGGGCTTTAATTTAATTATTTGATATCGACATTTGAACATCGCTGTTGTATTTTCTTATTTATGGAATGGGATCAGACAGCGAATGGATCGACGATACAAGATTATGGCCTAGGCTTCAGAGACCATTAAGTTCATCACATTTTGTTTTTATCGCTAATAAGGGCAGTCAACACCATTGCGACACATAAAAATTTCAACTGACGCTGTAAGGCTATCGCAGTCGTGCTTCTTGCTGCATGTGCGAACTTTAGACATTGCTTCTGTAAGTAAAAAACCGCATGTAAGTGCTCAAGCGAGCGGCGAGACGAGCAACGGCGACAACGATGAGAGTCAGCGACGAAGATTTCTCGCTGTCGCCCGTTGCATCGCTCGGTTTTTGGATTTCTAGAAAACGTCGCTCATCGTTTTGGTCGCTTGCGTGCGGTTTGCCTCGTCGCGCGACTGATCGAGCGAAAGCGAAGCGAGTCGCTTGTCTCGTTGCTCCCCAAATCGCTTTCATGCGGTTTTCTAGAAATCCAAAAGCCGAGCGCCGCGACGGGTGGCAGTGAGAAACTTTCGTTGCTGACTCGTCGTTGTCTCTCGTCTTGCTTGCTAAAGCGCTTCCATGCGGTCCGGCTTTTATCTACGGAAACAATGTCTAAAAGCACGCACATGCACCGAGAAGCACGACTGCGACAGCCTCACTGCCAAAAATTTGGGGGTTTTGCGTGCCAAACCAACGACTGGCATCTGGAGATAGCCTCACTGCGTCAGTTGATATTTTCATATGTTGCAATGGTGTTGACTGCCCTTTATTAGCGACAAAAACAAAAGAATGTGATGAACTTACATGTTCTCTGAAGCCTAGGCCATGATCTTGTATCGTGATCCATTCACTGTCCGATTCCATTCTATAAATAAGAAAATACATCTATATTGAAACATAGGTATCAAATGAATAAATGAAAGCCTGAAATATCAAAAAGACCTAAAGAAAACACTCGACTTCAACGCGGAACGTAAAATAACACGAAAACAAAGCTCTGGTGGTGACCAGTGCAGCACACAATGCGAAGCAACGGCGACAAAATGAAGGTCAGCTATGGCAGCCCGTTAAGCGCGCCGACTGGTGGCAGCTTGAGTAACTGACTCCCTAAGAGCATCTATACAGATAAAAACTGACACCTGCTGGCAGAACACTGTAAGGTCACAATGCACTTCCTCAGAAACCAGTGCCACTAGTTCCACAGAGAGTGAAATGCTGTCAGACAATGACACTAAGGGTGCATCTCAGACAAGAGTTGTCACCCTGGTATTTTATCCAGAAGGTCACCTAGCAATTCACTGTGTCCATTGTGAGTGCAAGTCCAACTTAGAAAAAGACTAGTGTCATGGGCTGCTACAAGACAAAAGCAAAGAGGAAAATTCACAATGCCTTCTTGATGAAATCCTAGAATAACAACTCATGTGAGCCCACCCTCATTACTAATACATGACAAAGAATTCCACGGTCTGCAGAGCCAATGACGCTCGTTTCTGGGGGAGTGCGTTCAGACGACGCATCAGCCCACTCCACATGGCGCAATTTCGCTTGCAAATTTACACCCGTGACGTCAGGCACTGCAGCTTCCCCCATGCCTATATTTCGCTGCATGAGTGACGTCACAACAGCAAACTCGCAAGTAAAATCACACCATGCGAATCAGGTTTACAGTGTTCACACAGCATGTGTTACTTCCTATCAGTAGATATATTTTTTTTACCAAAGTAAACTATTCAGTTAAAAGTTAAGACGTGTCCTGCCCAGATCTTCCTTCATTTCGTCTGTGTTTTTTGCCGTATTATCCAGTCTTGAGGCATATCAGTGTCAGGTGTTTCTCTTTGTCGCTCTAGTAGGACTCGGGCAGGGTGGGGAAACAGTCATGTCTCAATAATATGGATACTCTGCTATATAAAAAACGTTTTCGGGGACCAACCGGGTAAATACCTGCATTTTGTCCTGTTATTATGCACAGCTCACATTATGGACGCTTTTGGGTAGGAACGGAGGTCTCCATTTGCACGAGACATCACTGTCATATTCCCTAGTGTTGAAATTAATGACTGCATGCTCTGAAGCCACGTAGCAGGTTTCTCCGCTGAACACTAATGCATAGCGGTGGCATGGCAGATGTTTGTGGCTGCAGAACACACCGCAGGCAAATGATATCCAATGTGGACAATCATGGATATTTGACATTAGAATCAACCAACAAATAGGCCTACATGTTGCTGTCACAGAATTGAACGATTTTTTTTTTCGTTGGATTCCGTTTTGAGTAAGATGCACAAGTGCCGAAAACACGAGCTCGGAAGAGAAGAAAAAGAAAAAAAGAAGGAAGGCGGAAGCTGCGTAGAGCTAGGCTTCAGTGGTTGGAACAACAAGCAAGGCTTCAGTGGTGTGGGAGGTCGAACCCCGAACAAGGCTTTGTCAAGATGGTTGGTGGGCCCTGAGCAAACTTCGACGATGTGCATGTGCTTGTGAGCGAGCGCTGTTCGGCACTATAAGCACCCAAGCCACCACAAGTTCTCGACTCCGACTGGTGCCGCAAGGGACTGGGACCACCACCGACATCTTGGGACCATGCTTCGACTTTCCTCACACGAAATGTATAGCGTCTTTGATTTGGCTTCTGTTCCCTCCTTGTTACGCTTTCAAAGCTTTTGTGATTTTCTTGCCCCTGTTACGAAGAGCAGAAGGCTTCCAAGATATGTTCTTTTCCTTTATTATTTTCATTTTTTTACGACCGTTTGTGCGTCCTGTGCACCTTTTCTTTAATTTTGAATTTCATTACTAATAAATAGTGTTTCGAAATGCCAGGTACAAGTCACTCTCAATTCCTACTGCCTCTAAGGAAGTCCATCACCTAGGTGTGGCCCTAGCACCTGGACAGCGGTCCAATTCAGATTACAAGTTGGTTTGTTTATGGCATCTTTTCCAACCGAACCTGTGACAAACTGGCATCCACTACAGGACTTGAACCTGTCACAAGTTAGTCACAGGTTCGGTTGGAAAAGATCCCATAAAAACAAACTTGTAATTTGAATTGGACCGCTGTCCAGGTGCTAAGGCCACACCTAGGCGATGGACTTCCTGAGAGGCGGTAGGAATTGAGAGTGAGTCGAGCCTGGCGTTACGGAACACTATTTAATAGTAAAGAAATTCAAAAGTAAAGAAAAGGTGCACAGGACGCACACACAGTCGTAAAAAAAAAGGAATAAATAAAGGAATAGAACATATCTTGCAAGCGTTCCACTCTTCATAACCGCAGAAGGAAAAACACAAAAGCTTTGAAAGCATAACAAAAGGAACAAAAGCCAAATCAAAGATGCCATACATTTGGAGGAGGAGGAGAGTCCAATCATGGTCCCAAGATGTCGGTGGTGGCTTGGGTGCTTACAGCGCCACACAGTGCTCACTCACAAGCACAGGCACATTGTCTAAGACTTGCTCGGGGCCCACCAACAGTCTTGACGAAGCCTTGCTCAAGGTTTGCCCACCCAAACCCATGAAGCCTTGCTTGCCGTTCCACCGGCCATAGCGCCGATGCCTTGCTTCGCGTTCCACCACAACCACACCGTGCGCGGGTTCCACCTTCTTTCTTCTTGATCCCTTCCTCCGAGCTTGTGCTTTTGGCACTCGCACATTTTGCTCAAAAAGGAAACCAGTAAAAAGAGTACAATAACCACTGAATTCTGTGAGAGTTGTTATGACTGTGAATGTCTAGAGGGCAAAGTTGACATTTGCAACAAAACTTGAAGTAATAAGGCATGTGGAGAAGGAGACAAAAAGTTTTGTGTCACTGGAGCCCACAAGATCTTTGTAAACTACTCAAGAGCGGTGTGACATAAAAGCGCGACAAAACACATTCTGACGCACGGCATGTTAAGACATCGAGAAACCACTACAGAGGTGGTTTAGAGATGTCGGGGCAAGCAACATTCCTATATTGGGACCAATCTTCTAAAGGCATGTGAAAAACTCCTTTTACTCTTGAAGTGAAGAATCTTCTAAAAGAATGTGAAAGATTCCTTTTAACTTGATGTGAAGAACTTCACTGCAAGTGGATAGCTACATTAACTTAAGGGCCACCATGGCATAGGAGAAAAGACCATCTAAGGGATGGATAGATAGATGCAAACAGCTGTACCTTTTGTAACGAGCAGTAGTGCCAGTGTATGTGATGGGACTATTGTGGTGGCAGTGCCAGCGTCGAAAGAGAAAGTCAATGGCTCAACAATCAATTGAAGCCAAGTATGAAACCAGAAATAGTTAAATGCCTTGCCAAGGAAATTGGCCTGCAGTGGCAAAAGCATCCCTGGCAAGCGATTCACAGTTCGCATGGAAACTAACAGAACAAGGCCCAGATATCAGAGCTTTTGAAAACCAACACGGATGGCACCACAAAAATGTATTCTTAGTGATGGGAAAGTTTAGAATGCCAAATAGTATGAGCTGTTGCAGTAAAACCATCATATACGTATGAAACATGAAATCATGGATGACTCGGGATCTCTTTGGCTGGGTCTTTGGTGGCTCGTGGACTGGGAAGCCGAGTTTGTGGATAAGCGTCCCAGCGTGTGCTTACTTAGTGACATGTGCTGCTTAACACTATCCAGTTCCATTCTAGCAGCCAAACACGACATCCAAGCTACATCCGTTAGACCAAGGCATAATTCAAAGGTAGTCTAGATTGCGTTTACCATTTATAAATGTCCAGGCACGTCTGCAATTTAGCCCATCCACAGGCTTTCGGAGACGGTCACAAGAGCCAGCAGCTTGCTTGGGCAGCTCACTGTCAGCCACTCAGTCCTTCCATGCACCGTGCCACCTCCATGAGCTCCCACTGAAAAACAAAAAAAAACAGAATCGGAAATTATACCTGCAATAAGAACATCTCAACAGCAGAGGCTACGTTATGGTGCCTGGAATGCGCCTCCAACTGGTTCGTTTAGTGTTCTATATAACCCATGTACCAAAAGTGGTCTCTAAGCGACAAGATTAAATGACACCACAGGAGCTGGCATGTCATGCTGTTGGATGTTGCAATCCTGGCAGTTAGTCGTACAACTTTTGGCAAAAAATATATGAGCTAACACAGCTGTCATTGTCCTCGCAACATTCAAAATCCTGGCTGACAAAGCTTCTATGGACTGTCAAGCTGAGGGATACCCTCTCTGCCCCCTTCCCTTTTCCAGCAGAAACTACCTCAACTGTCATGATGTTCACAGCCCGGAAAAGATCCCCTAGAAGTTTATTCAGGAGCAACTAGGGTAGCTATAGAGACAAACTCTTGCACTGTGAAGCCATTCCACAAATCCGCCATAAGCAGCAGCTGTTTGTTGAGGGTATAGAAGTTTGCCTTGTAAATACATTTCGAGATGAAGTTGCATCTCTGGATTCTACCAAGACTCTAGTTTCCAGCAAAGATTTACGTTGGCAGGCCGGCCGAGTTGCTGAGTAGGAGGAAGGTGCATGTGCCACACCACACGTGTCTTTTGCTTACATTCAGAGAAAGGAAGGCTGAAATTCCCTGATCGATACTGATTAGGCTGGAAATCTTGAGACTTTTCCAATTGCCAAATTTCTCAACAATACCAATTTTCAGCTCATAGACACCCTGCACAGGGTTGAGTTAGGTACTAACGGCCATTAACAACTGCGTGAATTACTGTACACATATGCGGTAACTATACTAAAGCCCAACTTATTCTAGTAACGCACAACACCATAAAACTACCAAAAAACACAGAGCATGCACCCGCGACAGAGTAAGCGCTCAACCCCTACTTTTGAAACATATCAACTCATCTAAGGACATATTAATGCCTATTCCTCTATTTTAAGCAAGTTAAAAAAATATATGAAAGAGACATCAGGCACCCTGTCGTCATGGGCGTTTATCTCCACGACTGGCAGACAGAATGGGGATAGAACGAGTAGAACAGCAAAGCAGGAGAGGAATAGGAGGGGTGCAGTCGAAAAGATCTAGAAAGTGATATACTTGGGGACAACGTTCCGTGGCAATGGAGCTAAAGCTAGAGAGCCAAAGGACACCATTTCACTGCATAGCTGAATATAGTTCAACCATAATAATTTGCTGGGTGGAACGTAACCAATTAAAATATATGTAAAATTGTTCTGTTTAGCTTTGACTTTAGAATGTTAGCATAACATTAGCCAGGATGTGCCAAACCTAGAGCATTTCCTTTTTAGCTATTTTGTGTTTTCTTGGTTTAAATTCACCCTAGGTTTTCTAGCTCCCTGCAAAATTAAGATGGCATCTTTATCATGCGCATCTTTGGGCATCATCAGTGTGGTTTATTGCAGGCACTCTGTGAGCTTGCCCCTTTGTTTGACATGTAAGATTTTTATGAAGTTTGGCAACCAAGAAATCTTAAAACAAACCAAGCAAGTGGTGTGCAACGTGTATGACAAATGGGACAGTGGGAACCGGGACTCCTTGTTGTTTCCGTATGCTGGTTGGCTAGCAAGCTCACTGGTGTGTGTGTGAGCAGGGGTGGGGACGGAGCTCAGGACCCCTGGGTTCTGCAGCGCAATCCTCACTACACATATTCTGAGCTGTGGTGTGCCAGCGACCCCCTAGGGCCAGCCATAACTGAATGCGATCCAAATGGAATGCGACTTCGCGCCGTGGAGTGTGCGTGCTTCTATTTCTGTATATTCCTCCCGCGCAATAGTTTTTCAGCACCAGAAGAGTTTACAGATAACTGACCTCAAAACGCGGCAGCACTCATGAAATTCGTTCATGTGGCAATTTGGGTCACGTGGTTCATGATCATTGACAAGCGCCAAAAAAATAGACAGGGTCAAGAAGTTGCCACTGGCGCACTCGCAACTAACATTATTGAAAAAAAAATAAAATCTGTTACATTGCTGTGAAAAATGTCAATCATGATTACAACCAATGTAGACCTCTATCAAGAAATTCATATTCTTTTGCTGATAAGGTTATGGATGTGTCACTTGTACAACTCGTGCCTTCGGCTATAATCTCAAACACCTCGTGTAGCTTTTTCTAGACATTTTATCTGGGTATCTGGCCAAATATTTGGTGTCATTAAATGACAGGAAACAAGGGCAGCAGCTGATGTGTGTTGTCGCTGCAGCAGCGGCCCTTGGAAAAGACAAATGCAAAACTAAACACTGCAAAAAATTCACAGAATGCACAACCAAAGTTGTGTACGGAATCACAATGTCATATGGTTCTGTGTACACAGGTCAGACAGGCCTATGTATTAATGACTGCGCCCGCGAACGCGAGGTGGCCACACAAGCGATCTCCATCACGACATCTGGCCACACACTGCAGACGCTGCTTTTGCTCCCAGTCGTTTAAAGACACCAAATTTTTGGCCAGATACCCAGATAAAGAATCTAGAGAGCTACACCAGGCATTTAAGATTAAAGCCAAAGGCACCAGGTGTACAAGTGACACATCCATAACCTTATCGGCAAAAGAATTAATTTTTTGATAGAGGGTTGACCAGTTGTAGTCATGACTGACGTTTTTCACAGCTATAATAATAATAATAATACCGTAATGTTTTATTTGAATCATGCCCCAGAACGACCACCAGGTCATAGTGTGGTGGCACATAAAATGGTAGTACATGACTTAACACAATGTCTTCCGCTTGTAAAAAAAGAACAGACTAACATGCAATCACGAATTAAAGATAAAAATTTAGCTCCCTTCTAAACACTGATATATCTGAAAAGATATCAACATGAGAGGACAGTTCATTACCACAAATCTGCATCCTTACCACTTACTATACAAGAAATTTTGTTTTTAATCAATGTTAGTTGCCGGTACACCAGTGTTCACGTCAAATTTTTGTCTAGGTATTTTTCCGGCGCTTATCTACTATCATGAAGTTCGCAGCTTTTCCTGATTCGACACTGCCTATCTTCGTCAGCTGAGAGACAAATTAAATTCTAGGAGATTGACCACGGTGAAATCTACCTTGCAAGTCTGTCCGAGTGCTTCAGTCAAAGTGTTGGCTTACGCTTAAAAACGAGTGAAGCCTTCAGAAATAGATTTGAATATGCCTGCATGCTCGGCGATCGCGGTTCAGCTCCCTCAACCGTAATCCTCGTACAAAAACATGCACTGAAGCAACTGCGTGGTTGACACGCCAAACCCTAACTGAAACCGAGACAAAAAAACAAAAAAACCATAACTATTTGGTGCACTAACACAGAGCCATTGGCACTGCCTGCCTCCCCCCTCCATAGTTTTCTCTTCATTGCCAAAGAAAGTTGTGCCCCAAAAAAGATGGGTTGCTTTTTTGTTCTAACTCGGAAGAATAAATTTAAGGCTTTATAACAAGAACAAGCAAATGCGTAAGCAACCATTCTTTAGGATGTTAATTTGTAATAAAAAAAAAAACGAAAAAAAAAAAACAAACAGACGGTTTGTTTTTACGTTTGCACAGTCAACCAGCTTTGCAAATGGCAGCTGTTTGTAATTCCGTGGTCAGACCAAGGGACCACCCGACCATGTACACCTTTGCTTTATTACCTACCCTATCCCCCAGCTCCCCATGGTCATCCCCAATTTAGAGTGGACAATTGCTCGGTATATTACAGTTTGTAATGGTGTTATTTGTTTAGGAAAACAAAAGGTCAGATAAATACCAGCAGGGCCCTGCGGAAGCGGTGCATGGGCCCCGTTTCACTTTTCACAAAGCATCCTGTCTTGAAAGGCAGCAGAGAAACAGGTTGGGCTGATTCGCCTGCAGGCCTTTGCTGAGTTGATGGCTACTATCCAGACTGGCAGCTGATCGGCAGCTTCCAGCCACCTGCAGTTTTTTCTTGATGATACAGACTTCCTGCAATACCATGAATAAGAATCAGACTGATATTCTGGAACAAAAAAAGAAACCAAAACTTGCTTCACAGATCAACAAAAGAAAAAGTGCCAACATTACGCTTCTCTTGTTGTCGACAGTGCAAAGACCATGATGACAGCACCATTAAACTCAACCAAACAAGGAAAATGAGCTTCTTCATGACGTAATTGTATTAAAAGCCAGGCACGCAGCCGGAAGGGGGGGTTAGGAGCCTACCTCACATTTTCTTTATTACCTACCCTATCCCCCCCGCCCCCAAAATCGTCCATTTTGCTGGGCCCTCCCCCCCCCCCCCCCCCCCTCCAAAAAAAACAACAACAAATTTCTGGTGAAGTGCCTGTTAAGAACAATGTGCATGTAGAGCTTAGATACCTACTGGTACCTTAAGAAATCCCAGGAAGCTAAAAACAAATTAAACACCACTTAAAAATAGCACAGCTCGCTTGATAGGCACATGCACAGCAATCAACAAGCCTCTTGACATGTTCTGCAGTGCAGGGATACAGATTAAAAATAAACACTGGGGATGTGATCGATATCCTTTGGGGCAGTGCAATGCGCAAGTTTATCCTGAAGCTACTGTTTGCGCATGCGCCTAAGAGGCGTTAGAGCTGGTTCACACTGTTGCAACTGACTACGACCGAGTTGAACAAAACAGAGTTTTAAGCCGCTTACGACTGCCATTATTACTGCTGGACGGCGTGGTCATAAGCCGTCACAAGAAGCTTAAAGACTGGTTTCGTCGGAGTCAGTCCTAGTCGGTTGCAACAGTGTGGACCAGCTTTTAGACTATTATTGTAGCCAGCTTTGGGTCTTTCCACAAATGTTTTAAGAGACTGCCTTCAACTTTACCAGGGCCTCAGGTATTTAAACGTTGTAGTAAGTAGGGAGCCATCACATTCAAAGCTGGATCTCCTTGCTTTGTATGTGTCTCCCCAGTACCACTAAACGTTCTATACCAGATCTCAGCATTTTAATCAAATCATTCAACCTCTTTCCTCAGCCATGTAAACTACTTGTGCACCCACGAGTTCTACAAGTCACGAATGTAGCCGGGGTAAATTAAAACGTCGCTAAGGCAAGCAATAATAATCATTATTAGCGACAGTAGTACCCTGGGTGGCTCGCAAGGCTAGACATATATGCAGGGGCCCGTACGCACGATCGTCTGCTAGCCAATCAACCAGAGCAAGATGATCAAAATAACAAACAGGCAACAAGGGAGAAAACAACAAGAACGATGAGATTAACAGGGCTCGGTCAACACTTTTAATACCCGTGTGACACGGGCAACTCGAATGCCATTTACAACGAATGACAATTGTGTGATCGGCGAATCAGCTCGCTATCTGTCGCGCGTGGAATGCGTCACGCCCGGAGTGTCGCGCGCCGATTGGCCGTCCGCTCAAATGTCATTCGTTGTAAATGGCATTCGAGTTGCCCGTGTCCCAAGTATAAGAAACTCAAGGCCCAAGCACCTCAAACCCAACGCCACGCACCGCACGCCGGCGCGAGGCACACGCCGTACACGAGCACAACGACGACACCCAGTTAGGAGCGTGTCCTATCAATACGCCAAACGCCAGCGCCAGTCGAACCGCGCCATCCCGCTGGACGCGGCGTGAAAACCCAGAGCGCGCGGGCCGGGAGTTTCAAAACATTGGGCACAACTCAACGCTGCCGCTAGCATGAAAAAGGACGAGACGACACGCAATCAAGCGTTTAACAACACAGAACAGTTCACTGATAGCAACGCGTACTTTAGAAACAATCTAATCAGCGTCTCTGCAGTGCTCCGGTGTCGCAGAGCATTCACGGGATTCTCAAGATAGCGGCACGGCGGTACCGCGGCGGCGGCGGCGCCGCCGGCGCCGGTTAGTGCTAAGACGATTTCACTTTTTTCGACTCAAATCGTAGAAAAAAGTGAAAAATCGTCCGAATTACGGTGGCAACGTGAGCTACGTTGTTCCGAAGATGATCTAGCATATCTGGATATTCTTCTAGCATGCATTATGAATATGAAATCGGAAAAACTTACCTAAACTCGGATCGACCGACGCACTCCGAGAAAGGCCTTTGTGTCCTCTCCGGAACGAACAAGGATCCAGAAGTTGCTTGCGGCTTTGAATTGGCACGAAGCCAAGCCAGCCAAGGCAGCCAAGGATTGAAATACGACTTAATAGTTTCGGTTTCGACCCCACTCTATCTCAGTCCATATTTCTGGGGCCGGTGTCACTACGGTTGACATTACTGCAGTTATCGTACTCTATACGAACTTTGAAGTCAATCGAATGCGAGCAGACATAATTTCCCAGCTTCTTCTCCTGTTATACGTTGCTTGATAACCTTTGTTTGCTGATTGGAATCTGCATCAACTCATGTCCATCTGGTCCTTCAAACAAACGGTGTTCAATATCTTAATTCGACTTGATTTCTTATTTGTGAATACATGTAATTGCTTAATCATTCACTGGATATTTGTTTTAAGTTTTTATTTTTTTGCTAAGAAAATGAACGTATTTTTTAAGTTTTTTTTTTTTTTTTTTTGTTTGGTTTAAATTACAGGCCGTGTTTTGTGGCTCAGTAAAACAGGTTGATTTGAGAAATTCAAGATCATGTACAGCCGACAATACACCAGTGATGTAAATACAGGGGAGGCGGGAGAAGCGTCCCCCCCCTCCACCTTAGAAAATATTCCTGGCTGCGTCGCTAAATGAGCATAAGAGGCACTGCGTTTTTTGCCTTATCAACATACACACAAATCGAAGGAGGGAGGAGCTGCTTCATCTGAAAACTTTCAGTTTTGAGATGAAGCAGCTCCTCCCATCTCTTTCCACTTTGGCAGAGCGAACGCTCGGGAGGAGCCGACCCCCTCCCCAGCGTTTACTTTCAACCTGCCATCGAGCATGGCTGTATTTTTTTTTTTTTTTTCGTGGACCTTCTAGATTGCTACAGCTTCAGTACATACAGCGGTGTAATCCACTCGCTAACTTGCTGTGCGTGTCTAAACAGAAGACATGTTTCCCTCCGGAGCGGGATCGGCGGCCGAGTGGGCTAGAGCACACCAGCTCGGAGCACGCGGAGCGAAAGCTCGCGCAACAGAACCCAGGGATCCTGGGTTCAATCCGCACCCCTGCCCGTTTCGATCTGGATGAACATCCTACCGGCGCGCTTTCGTGTATCATTACTGCGTGATGCACGTTAAAGACCCTGCGCTATCAGTTGTACTGCATTGGCTAAATTTTTCATCTACAGCTGGGAGACTCGTCGGCCGTTGAGGCAGACCAAATTCTAGGCTGTATAGACGCTTTGCACACGCGCCAAAATACAGCCGCCATTGCTGACCTTCTGTTGTTTTACCGAGATACCGAGCCACTGAAATTGGTGTGGACGAGCCTCCACAAAAGCCAATGCTGGGGAGAAAGACAGAATAAAATCTAGGATAGCAATGGCCTAGCCTGCTATGGTAATAATGAAGGGAAGTAAACGTAAGAAGGGGAAACAAAAACTGAAGGTCAGTTATGGCGGCGCCCATGCACAGCAGCTGCAAAGCGTCTATAAACATACACACTCCCCAATTTTTCTCTGGAGCCATAGCTACAGGTTCAGCGCACGTGATCAGCGCATTCAGAAAACTAACTACAAGAGCACGCCCACGAGGCTTTGCGTTGCCTCTAATTTGCACGTGCTCACGCCAGCTTTGACGAAATTGGAGCCCTGCAGAAGTGGGCTAAAGCGCACACCCAGCTCGACGCGCGTGGAGCGAAAGCTCGCGCTGCAGAACCCAGGGATCCTGGGTTCGAGCCCCACCCCTGCCCGTTTCGATCTGGATGAGCGTCGTACGCGCGTGCGGTCGTGTATCACTACTGCGTGGTGCACGTTAAAGACCCCAGGCTAGTGGTTGTACTGCAGCGGCAAAATTGCTCATCTACCGCGAGGTACTCGTCGCAACTTTAAATGGCTGACCAACCACACGCTGTAAAAATATCCCCATAACCCAATTTGCAATTTTTGCCCTGCAGAAGTTACGCTAACCTTGATGACGTAGAACAAATTAGTTCTGAACACGTCGACGCGTGCACCGCCGAAACGTGCCCCACATGTCCTACACTTCGTTTCACGCTCAGTGCGAGCGAAAGCAATGTGAGGTCGATGTTGACACGTCACGAGCTCACCTTCGCTCGTATTTATGGTGAAAGAGAGAATGAAGAGTCATAGAACAAAGAAATGATACAAAACATAGATGTAATCTATGTTTTGTATGTAGATAGTGTAATGGATGGCAGGGTAGATCTATGCCATCTATGTTTTGACTGCCTACGCTAAGCCTATTTCGTATTTACAAATTCTGATAAGCATGAGTCCACGTGGAACCTATCCAAACGTGGATTAAAATCCGGCTTGCTTAATTTTGAGATGAAAATAAAAATGTAAATAAATATTTACATTCGCGGTACCCCTTACTTTGTTTCGATTCCTTACATAATGCGATTTTCCGCGGAATAAACTTCTTTGTTATGTACTTGATCACTAGCGCCACTTGCACATACAACGCTTTTGCTTTACACCACGCGTGGCCAAGGCTTTCGTAACTTGTGGTGCGGTCCGTGCGGACCGCATTCCAGGTGTGTTGGCGGTGCAAGGTGAGTCAGATGGGTCGTTCCCGCTTTAAATAAATACTAAAAATCAGTTTCTCATACTGCGGCACTAAGCGTTGACGTTGGTGCAGCGAGAGCAGTCTTGCCTCTTCTTGAACTTAGAAATACCAGCCAACATCTAAGCCTTTCTCGTGTCGGAAGTTTTGCGTGTCGCGTTT